ATAGGAGCACAAGGTGGGCAGGCTCTGACAATAGCTCAGGCTTGTATACATATGTAACAAACCTGCACGTTATGCACATGTACCCTAGAACTCAAAGTATAATAATAAAAAATAAAAATAAATAAATAAAAAGAAAAAAAAAACAGAAAAAAAAAAAAAAAAAAAGAAAATCACCGTTGTAATCCTAAACTATTAGTATGATGTAGTTGGTGCTCATCCTGAGCCTGTTGGACACTGCCAATAAGTAAAGAATCAATCTCACTATTGCCAAAAGATAAAGGTCCTGGCAAAGCTGAATGAGAATGAATATGAGTGATAAAAAAGAGGGGCAGTGTGGGAAGTAAGAGTTACAAATAATAAAGAAAATAATTTTTGTAAAGGAGTTTGAGGAAATAATGGTAAAGAAGTCTGAGAAATATATTTATTTACATATACAGCATATTGGGAATCACTAACTATATTTACAAGGGGTTTGAGGCCAGTCTTGTTTGAGGCCAGTCTTGTAGAACCATAAGAATGGCAAAAAGTTCTCCTTGTTGTACTGATTTAAATGGATAGTGAGAAATTTTTGAATTGTCTGAAGTCCAGTATCCAGCCTTTCCATTGCTTGAAGCATCAGTAAAAAAGGTGGGACCTTTAACTGGAGTGTAACAGATAGGATTATATGGCAGTAAAGAATATTGTTGCAGAAAAGCAAATAATTTATTACTAGGATAATGCTGAGAAAAAGAACCAGTATACTCAGTGCAAGCCACTTGCCAACCCTCATGAATTTCCAACAGAGATTTAATGTATTGATTAGATAATCAGGTAATAATTTTTATAGGGTCAGCACCAAGCAACTGACGAGCTCGATGTCATCCTTTAATAATTAATTTAGTCAATTTATCAATATATGGGTGAATTTTCTTAATGGCTTTATTAGCCAAAAACAGCCACTCCAGAATATTATTATTTTGGTGTAAAATGGCCGTTGGTGAATGGGGAGTATGAAAAAGACACAACGAAAGTGGAAGATTGGGTGCAATATAATCAAGGTGAGCTTCACTAATTCTATTTTCTACAAATGACAATTCTTCTTCTGCTACAGGGGATAAAGTCCCCATAGGTTGAATACAAGTATTTACAGCTCTAAGATCAGTTAATAAGTGCCATTTTTTTTTTTTTTTTTTTTTTTTGAGACAAACAGGGGAATTCCATGCAGAAGTACTTGGTTCAATATGCCCCTCGGCCAATTGTTCCTTAACTAAATTCTTTAAAGCCTTAAGTTTTTCTTTAGATAATGGCCACTGTTCCACCCAAACAGGAGTTGTAGTTTTCCACTTTAATTGTAAAGCTTGAGGTTTGTGGACAGTGGCTAAGAGTTTAAAGGATTGTAGCCCATTTTGAACATCATATTTTTGGCAGCTGAAGAAATATGAGGAATGCTTAAAAAGGCACCAAATTGTTGTAAAAGATTATGGCCCCAAAGGTTAATATTAATGGGAACAATATAAAAGAACACTTTTCCTTGTTGTCCTTCAAGGTCCTACACAGCTCAGGGGCTTGACACTTTGGTAGACTATAGAAGCAGTACCTAGGCCGGATAGAGTAACTGATACTTGTTTCTTTTTCCAATGATCAGACCATTGAGCCAAACATATAATAGATACATCCGCTCCTGTGTCGACTAATCCCTCAAAAAGTATCCCATTAATTTGCAATGAACATAAAGGTTTTTGATCAGAAACTAAAGTTTCCCAGAAAACAGTTTTCCCAGTACTACCGAAACCTCCTTGACGAGACACATCTCTAGATAAGAAAGGAAAAAAAGGCAATAAAAGTAATTGTGCAATACATTCCCCTGCCTCTAGGCGCATAAATTGTGAGACTTGTACCATAATAAGGATTTTATCAGTAAAATCAGGATCAATAATTCCTGGGACCACCATTAACCCCCGCATAGCGCTGCTGCTTCGACCTAGTAAAAGTCCTACATGTCCCTTTGGCAAAGGACCACACACTCCGGTAGCCAACTTATATATTCCTCCATTAGGAGATAAAGTATAAGGTTGGACAATAGCTAGGTCAGCAGCGGCACTCTGCTTAGGGGCAGCATAAAGCTGAGAAACTGGGGTAGGGTAAGATGTCTTTAAGGAGGACTCGAGGTCATTCCTTGATGTTGTAAGCCACTGCTCACTGGGTACTGGGGTAGGCCTGCATTGTAGTTGTTGGGGCCCCAAGCCTGCAGGCCCCGGCTCCCATTTCCCAAGAGGCGTGACAATACATTCCCACTTTTATCAGTTTTTGAATGGCATTCATTGGTCCAATGTTGACCCTTGCCACATCGTTTACACATATCAGATGGTAACCTTTTTTCTTTTAGAGTAGAAAAGCCTAATTTTTTTGGCATTCCTTTTTAAAATGACCGGGTTTCCCACATAGATAGCATATACCTTGTTTAGAATTGCCTTTTAAAGCCTTAGAAAGTGCCCCAGCAAACAATTGAGCATTGTAAATAGCTCCTCCAACACCTGCACAAGCCCAAATGTATTCATCTAAATCAGCTCCACTAGCTTTTAGAGGATGCAGCAATTTTTGGCACTCAGGATTAGCACTCTCAAAAGCCAGAGTATCCAAAAGAATTTAAGCAGCAGGGCCTGAACCTACAGTCTTTAATACAGCATCTTGAGGACAGGCTACGAAATCTAGATACGGCTCAGTGGCTCCTAGTAGGATCTTTACAAAAGATAAGGAAGTTTTACCCGCTATTTCAACCTTAGTCTACGCTTTTATAAACAAGGCTTTAATCTGAGTGAGAGCAATATCATCTAGGCCTGCCTGAGCATTAAGAGTCGCGTATTGTCCCGAACCCGTAAGCTGCTCTTCAGTAGGTCCTGGGGGATTTCGGGTAGCATTTTTTCTAGCTTGTACTCTTGTTTCCTCCCACCACCAACTTTTTAATTGAAGCCATTGTGAACGATCAAGGACAGCCTGTCCCAACGTTTCCCAGTCAAAAGGAATCATCATATGTCCTAAAGAGAAGGAATCGAGAAGGCCAAGAACAAACAGCGACTGAGGTCCATAATTAGAAATTGCAGCTTTCATTTCTTTCAAAAATTTAAATTGTAGGTCTGTAAAAGTCACATTCTGGCCACCGTTTGGGAACTGAGCATTGGGGCCGAAAGCAGCCTGTGTTATTGGGAATAAATCTAATTCCTTGAAATCATCCTTTTCCTTCGATTCCTTCTTTTCTCCTACAGGAGGAAGAGGCACAGAGAAAACCTGACCTGACATAGGCAAAGAGGTTGGAGGTGGAGGCAAAGGGAAATCCTTTTCCAAAGGAGCAGAAGGGAAGGTAACAGGGAAGGCTCATGGCACAGAGATAGGAGAAACAGGAGCAGACCTTGCAATTTTAACAACTGTTGTAACATCTCTAAAATGCGCTGCAAATCAGAATTTCCTTCAGATGAAGGAGGCATTAGCTCTTTTTCCAATTCCTTGTCCTCAACAACCGGGGCGTAAATATGTTCCTCTCTAGGATCATTCCTCTCTAAAGCTTCAGATGCCTCACCTCCTGTGGCAGTATCGCCATGTTCTGAGTCAGTTTCAAGTAACTCTAATGCCTGAGTAATGGAACTACAGAAAGTCCACAAAGTCAGAGGCATCGTCTGCCCTCGCTGATGAGCTCGACACAAGACTTTAACTGCTTGTAATCATTCCTTTCGATTTAACTAAACTTTGGTTTGATATTGAAACCAGTAACAATGTTGTTCAACATGGGCAAACAATCACTTCAAAGTCTTATGTTCCTTAACTAACTTCTACTCCTATAGACATCAACAGTCCCTGGAGTAACCGCAAATATTCAGAGGCCAGAGAGGTGGAATTCCCCATAATTTTCCCGTGGGTCCCCCTTTCTTTATTTACCTGCCCGGAGTGTCCCCCCTCCAGTTCTTTGCTCTCGTGGAGCCACGGACCCTGCTCGCTGCACCAGATGTTGGGGTCCGCGTGTTTCCTAAACAAAGGAATGAACACACAAGACAACACAAGACAAGACAAACATGGCGGCCGCCTCGAATGGCGCGCTCTGCTTTATTTTATACAGTCGTTTGTGGAATGTTGCCAAGTCACAAGACACATTGTTGTTTTTCTGACCTTTCCCTTTCTGGATTTTCAAGATGTTTACACATAAACAAGCCCCCAGGGTCTGCTGTTTGCAGCTGGCTCCTTTGTGCTCCCTGTTTACAGGGAAGGAACGCCCTGCTTCGTTTGCAAGAGCAGGACTTACTGGGAATGCCTTGCTTCGTTTGCAAGAGCAGGACTTATCTGAATGTCTCGTTTGTGAGCACGTAGTCCTCTACACTAGTGAACTTTTTGGGAAACATTATTTTCATAGATTTTTAGGCTTACGGTCTGACAATCAGTCATCCACAGAGTCTTTCATGATTAGGTACTTCACCACAAGTTGGGAATCTCAAAGGCTTCTTTTATACAGCCAGAGGCTTGGCCTTGGGGCTCTTTTGGAAAAACAGTCATAATAATCTCTCATCATTTATGACTACTATGCGTATTTTTTACGCAGACTTTGGTATTTCATCCTTGTACTAGGTAGAAAATCTTAAATTTTTCCAATTGCCTTTATGTTTATTGGTAACAATCAGTATGATCTACTATACTATGGTATACTAAACTCACATTCCTGGGAGTCCATATTTTGAAGATCTTTTTTTCCTGTTCAAGTTCCACGGGATAAAACACAAATGTATGTCCTTCAATAAAATAATTTTACTTTAAGATATTTATATTGAAGTAAAACTTTTGCACAGGTGCAAAAAGAAATATATTCTAAATGCTTATTGAGTACTGTTTGTGGCAGCAAAAAATGACAAAAACTAAAGTAAAATGGATTAAATGAGTAATTATTTTCATAAAATGGAATATTTATACCTCAGTCAGAATTGAATAAAGTTGTTTGATCTGTTAGAATGAAAGGGAGAAAAGAACAGAACAGAAGCAGCTCAATGGCAACACAGATTTATTGGGAGAATGACCTGCGGAGAGGGGGTACCAGCTAGTGCCAGAGCCCCCTTCCCACTTACAGGCTGGACCAGTTATAGTTCCGGGCAGGAGAGGTCTGGGATTTTTGTGAAAATGGGGTGGGGGCGGTGTGTTTGGCTGCTGCTAATGAAGGAATTTAGTGCAGCCAGGGGTTAGGCCTGGGACCTCTCTGACAGGATGTTTCTCACAGCTCAGGCCCTGGTGGAATTTTCCACTCTGACCAGTTTGTAAAATGGTGGGGGTCTGCAAAATAATGCAGCTTGGGCTAACATTCTTATTTCTTACTTTAGTATAAAAAGGAAAAAGGGCGTCGTTGATCATCTGGCTGCTTCCTGCTGGATAGGGGCGCCGTGATTAGGGCCTGGGTTTTGGAGCTTCCGAATGGCTTCCTTGTAGGCTCTGGTATTAGACGTAGCAAAGGTGAAGGATATTATCAATGTGTTTTTGCATGCTTGCCTGAATAAAACAATTCAGCCTTTGGGAAATGAAGTGGGATACAAGGTTAAATATGCATGACCCAATCATTAGTAACAGGAAGAGGAAGATCAGGGGTTCTAGGAAGGGGGCAACCCAGGGTATCCATCTTAGAAGGGATGATCCTTGCCACCAGGGGTAAGCGACGACGTCAAAGCTCTGCAGCCCTGTCATGAAACCTGTGAACTGCGATATGAACAATGCCAGATTCATTAACACAGAAACAGCATTCTTCCTGGAGGTATATGCAGGTACCCCCTTTCTCAGCGGTTAGTAGGTCCAGGGCTCTCCAGTTTTGAAAGATGACTCCCACGAGGAAGTCTAATTGTTGTTGGAGACTGATAATGGAAGTGTGCATATCTTCTAGGGTGTTAGAAAGGGTTGTGAATAGCATTTGGTATGAGGTGATTGAGGAGGTTATGCCTGCTATTCCAGTGCCGAGTGCAGCAGTGATGCCTAATCCTGTTAGCAGGGTGATGAGGTGTAGAGCCCATTTATTTCTTATAGGTGAAAAGGAGATAGAGGCTTCTAAAGAAATTAGAATACTTTTGTTTGGGGGTAGGATGTTGATGGTTGGAGCTTGAAAGACCAGGGTGCAAGTTCCTTTTTCCTGGTAGGCAAAGATATCAGTTTGTATCATACAAAAAGAAGAGACGGGGTGGACAGGCAGAAGTTGTAGGTGAAGGTAGGTAGCCATGAAAAGGTGTTTTCGTTCTGCCAAATTGAGTAACTGCCAGTCAGAGTGGCACCTGTAAGGGCCTGATAGGTAGCCTTGGCTGGGGAGTTGATGAAGGCTGTTTGGTTTTGGAGAGAGAAATTGTCTTTGTCAACTGTTAGCCATTGCTGCCCTGGTGTGGTGGCTGTAAGGTACCAGTTGCAGGTGAGGGAATTGTTAAATTTTTTTTCCAGGGGGCACCTTTAAACTGGAGACATAGAGAGCAGAGTTGACGGGGGGAAGCTGGGAATTGGATGGTAGGAAAGAAGAGAGGATCCGGTGGTGAGGTGCAGGGATGTGTGGATGGTAAGTGAGCCAGAAAAGCATAACACCTTCTGCCAGGCAGAGGTGGACCTGATTTTGTAATTAGGGTGTAGAATTGATAGTCTACAGGGAGTGCAATGGTAAGAATAAGACCACATAGGGACTGAGGGACCTGTCCCACCATTGTGGCGTGGGCTGGATTAGGGTAGGTTCGGCTGAGACATAAGGTGGGTGGGGATATGAAGGAAGTTTGAGTAGAAATGGTACCCCCATATTGGTGGTTTAGATGACGTTGTGTTGGTTTGTATGGATGTTAGTCCAGAAACTATTAGATGAAGGAGGGCAACAGCCCTACCTGAAACCATGCTGAGAGGGCTGAGTTTGGAGGAAAGGTGTTCAGTTGAGTTTCCAGGTTATGAACTGGCTTCAGGGATGAATCAGCCAAGAATGGTATGGCCGAGTAAAAAATGTGTAAGCTCATGTTGGTCTGTGTCCACGTAAGTAGGTCGGCCGGAAGAGCCGTGAATCACTGGGTGTGCGTAGAAAGACAAATCCAACAGTTAGAGGAGAGGGGAGATTGTGACTGACTTAACAGGTGGTGTGTGAGGCTGACGAAGGGGGCCCAGCTGTCAGTGATTGGGGGTGGGGACTCAGAATATCCCATAAGCAGAGAAGGCAAAAGGAGAAAAAGGAGATTTGTGTAGGTGTGAAATCCTGGAAAGTGCCTTGCAGCCATAGCTCCTCGATTAGCATGAGGAATTGAGATGGATTATCTAAGGGCGTGGGGAAGGGGTACCAGGAGAGATCTGAGACAAGGTATGAAGTAAAAGATTTAAGATTGGAAGTGGAGAGTGTCATGGGCCAGTGCCTTTCAGATGGGTGACTTCTGGAACTCTTGTTAGGCACGGCGAGGTTGGTCCTGTGGGAAAGGAAGAATATTTCTGGGGTGAGGAGACTTCGGGGTGCGTCGGGTGATTTTTAAATTTGGAATGGTGTATACAATAGGGAAAGGATGTTAACTTTGCAGCAGTAGGGATGGTGAATATAACCTGACAGAGACCCTTCCATTTTGTTGGAGATGGGAGGAGAGGTCTGCTACCCAGACGCAGTCTCCTGGCTGTAAGGGTAAGAAAGTGAGTTGGGAAGAATCCTCAAGTTTGGGGAGGTGAGTGTCAGCATACTGTCGGACAAAGTGTTGAGTGAGGTGCAGTGCTGGCCAGGTGTCCTATAAGGGAGGGGATGGAGCAAAGTTCTGTAGGATGAAAGAATGTCCATATGTAAGTTCAAAAGGACTTAGATTTAGAGGTTTTGGGGGAGGGCCCTGAGGAACATGAGGGCCAAGAGAAGAAGTGATATTCAGTTTTCATTTTGATCTCTAAGGAAAGTTTTGTTAACTGTTGTTTTAAGAGGGCATTCGCCTGTTCAAATTTACCTGATGATTGGGGGTGATGGAGACTATGAAAAACCTATATGATATTTAAAACCTTAGAAACCTGTTGAGTGACTTGGGAGATAAATGCTGGTCAATCATCCAATTGTATAGATGAGGGGAGGCTGAATCAAGGGATGATTTGTGTGATGAAGGTATAGGCCTTTTCAGAGGTAGTAAGAAAGGCTTCTATCCACCTGAAAAAGTATCTACCATCGTGAGGAGATATCAGACTTTCTTTATGGGGTAGCATATGAGTGAAGTCAATTTGCTAATCCTGTCCCAGCAACTGGCCTTTGGGTCTGAAGGGAGGGAAAAGGAGGTGGTCTAAGGGTCCCTGAGGAGTAGTCTGACTGCAGGCAGAGCAACGTTTAGTGAGGCGGTCCAAGCTGACGGCCATTGTAAGGGAACGTATACAGGTTTTTAGAAATTGGGCAAGGGGTGATAAACCACATGGAATTGGTTATGGATGTGGGTGAGAACAGAAAGTTTTTGGGTCTTGGGTAGGATAAGTTTGTAGTCTAAGTAAAATCAGCTTTCCTTATGAACAGCCCTGGAGCCAGCAAGGCACCTTTTTCTTCTTGGGTGTATGCTAGGGAAAATGGGCAATAACAATGGTGTTCTAAGGGCTGCCTGCCAGGCTGCCGAATCTGCTAAAAAGTTTCCCTTAGTTATGGCATCTGTAGCCTTTTGGTGTCCCTTGCAATGGATAACGGCAGCCTCTAGTGGCAGTTTAGCTGCCTCCATCAGCTTGTGTCTGAGTTTGCCATTTATTATGGCGGTTCTTTTGGTAGTTAGAAAATCCCTTTTCCGGCCAGATTACAGCGTGAGACTGTAGGATGTGGTATGCATATTTGGAATTATTGTAAATGTTGACCCTCTTTCCCTTTGCTAGAGTGAGGGTCCTGGTTAGGGCAAGTAGTTCCGCTTGTTGTGAAGTGATATGGGGTGAGAGAGCATTGGATTCTAGCAGTTTGTTTTCGGCAATGATGCCATAGCCGGCTGCCAGATATGGTTCCTTAAAAGAGCTTCTGTCCATGAACCATGTGGGTTCCTTCCACAAAGGGGCTTCTGAAATGTGCTGGAAAGGGGAGAAGAGGGAGGCTAAGAGGTCCAGGCAAGAGTGCGAGATTCAGAATTGGAAGTACTTATAGGGAGGAAGGTGGTTGGGTTTAGAATTTTACATCTCTGGATGGTGTTAGAGGGTTGTTGTAAGCTGGATGGCGGGAGGAAAAGAAGAGATCGTTGGCTCATGAGGTCCCATAAGTTATGGGAAGATGCAATAGTAATGTGCTAGTAGAGGGTGAGTTTTTGTGCCTCTGAGGACAGCAATGTAACTGCACCCAGAACTTTCAAGCATGGAGGCCAGCCTTGGATGACAGAGTCCAGTTGTTTTCAGAAGTATGCAATGGCTTGTGGAGTATTGCCATAGGTTTGGCAGAGAAGTCCACGGGCAATGCCTTGATTACAATGAACATACAGGGTAAAGAGTTTAGTGGGGTTGGGTAGTCCTAGTGCTGGGACATTAAAAGGACATCTTTCAGTTTTTACAAGTGGGAGTTAATGGGCAAGCTGAGTCCAAATGTTCTAGGATGGACCCACATGATGCCATGCAGAGTGGTTTGGTCAACAGGCCAAAGTTAATGATCCATAGTTGGAAGTACCCCACAAGGCCCAAAAAGGAAGGGTCCTTCTTGGTGTGGAGAAGGGGCATATCCTGTATTAGTTCCTTCCATTGGGATAGCATGGCTCAAGAATTAGGGGTTAGGGTGAGTCCAAGGTAAGTGACTTGGGTTTGGGCTACTCAAACCTTTGTAGGTAAAATCTGATATCCCTGGCCATGGAGGAAATTTAGAAGTTGGGTGATGTGTTGATGGATAGATCAAAGGAGGGACTACATAGAAAGAGGTCATCGATGTATTGAAGGAGGTTGCTAGGAGCAAGGGGAAGCTCGGTCAGATCCTCGGTGAGAGCCTGCTCAAATAGGAGGGGGCTATCCCAGAAACCCTGTGGGAGTACGAACTGTTAGGTAGAAGTGTGAGTATCTGGGTCTGACTAGGTGAAAGCAAGAAGACTTTGGGAAGCCAGATCCAAGGGAATAGTTAAAAAAAAAAAAAAAAAAAAAAAAAAAAGTCCCTTAGATCCAATACAGAGAAGTGTGTGGTAGATGGGGGCATATGGGAGAGTAGAGTATAGGGGTTGTGGACCACTGGATAGGTTGGTACATCCACTTGGTAAATGACATGGAGATCCTGGACCAAGTGGCAAAATCTGTCTGTTTTTTTGACAGCCAAAACAAGGGTGTTGTGGGGAGAGCGAACAGGTTTGAGAATCTGAGCTTGTAAAAGCTTACAGATAACAGGATTGAGGCCCCTGAGGCTGGCTGGGCAAAGGGGATATTGAGGCTGATGAAGGAAAATGGAGGAGTCATGGTAGGTTATTTTGACTGGGATGTGATGTGTGGCTATTGTGGGTTTAGAAACGTTCCACACTTCAGGATTGACAGAAGGTAACAGATGGATAGTGAAGATGAGGGGGAGGAGAGGGAAGCATCTGGGCAGCAGAGTAAAGTAAAAGGGGTAGAATTGGAGGAGGCTAGTTGTATGGAGGCCTGGAATTTACTCAGTATGTTCCACCCCAAGATAAGGGTAGGACACTAAGGGATAACTAGGAAGGAGTGGATGAAGGGGGTATTGAATAGGTTGCATATTAGAGGACCAATCTGTGCCTAGAGGGGATTCCATTGACTCTCACAATAGAGATAGAATAACTGAGGAGGGGTCAAGAATATTCTGATAAAACTGAGTAACTAGTTCCCAGATTTAAAAGGAAGAGTATGGGCTTACCAGAGACTGACGGCGTTACCCTGGGTTCTGAGGTGGTGAAGGCGGTGGGGGCAGCAGACCCTGGACCCCGTCAGTCTTCAGCAACCAGGTCTAGAATGCTTGCCAGACTGGAATCTGGGTTGCGGGACCTGTTTGAGCAAGCAGGGTGAAGAGTCTTGTTGAGCGCAATCTGACTTTCACTGTCCTTTGATATCACAGATGGGGCAAGGTTTTGAGGGCAGTATGAGATTGGGGCAGACTCTTGCCCAGGGACCCTGTTGGCTACACTTAAAACAGGCTCCTGATGGGGACTGTCATGAGGTTGAGGATTTTTGTATGCATTGGGGAATCCTGTTGTATGGCAGCTGCCAGTATCTGGTATTTAGCCTGGTCTCTTTTAAACTTTGGGGTTTTATTTCTTCCTCTCTATTGTTAAAGACCTTGAAGACTACTGTGATTAAGTCTCTTTGGGAGGTTTGAGGGCCATCCTCCAGTCTTTGGAGTTTCTTTTGGATGTCGGGGGCTGACTGGGAAATGAAGCGTAAGTGGAGGTAGATTCTGTCCTCGACAGTGTCAGGGCTTAAGGTGGTATATTTAATCATGGCCTCTGAAAGGTGGAAGAAAAGAGAGTAGGGTTTTTGTCAGGGGCCTTGAGTGACTTCTTTATCTTTTCATACTTGATAGCCTTAAGGGCGGTTTTATTCTTGCCAGTTAGGAGGCATGTTATCATATGGCCTAGTTTCTGTCTGTCTGCAGAAGCCACCTGATAATCCCAATTGGGATCAGCTCTGGGAATAGCTAGGGTTGCGATTGGGTTATAGGCAGCATCTTGTCAGTGGAGAGTGTCTGCTTGGGCCTGATCCAGATATGTTCCCTGTTCTCCAGGGTGAGGGAGGAGGAGAGGATGACATAAATGTCATGCTAGGTAAGGTTGTAAGATTGAGTGATATACAGAAATTCCTTGCGGAAGGATGTGGGATCTGTGGAAAAGGAGCAAAGTTTCTTTTCAATCTGAGAGACATCAGCTACAGAGAAGGGAACATGAACTCAGACTATGCCTTCAGTCTCCATAACTTCCCACAAGGGAGGATGTTAGCGGGCCTCTGAGCCTGTGCCTGGTTTTCAGCAGCAGAAGGGGGCTGGGAATGAGATCAGTTATGGTGGGGAAAGGATAGAGATGAGAGATAGGAATAAGGGGGTGGTAGAGCCAAAGGGGAGGGAGGAGGAGATGGTGGTGGGAGTGGGGCTGGGGGGCAGGTAGGGATTCGTCAGCTGGATAAAAATTGGAGGAGGAGGAGGAGGGCTTGTATGGAAGGGGAGGCATTTTGGCAGATTTCTTGTTTAAGAGCAGCAGCTGGTAAGATGAACAGGACTGACAGACGGGACTGGCAAAAGCCTGGATATAGGGCATCTCGGACCACTTGCCATTGTGCTGGAGGAAATTTTCTAAATCATGTTGAATTTGAAAGTCAAAAGTCCCATTTGGGCCAGCAGCCATCACTGTCCAACTTATACTGGGGTCAGGCCACATTACAAAGGAAAATAAGGCATTTAGTTTTAATGGAGTCTGCCAATCCCAGTGTTCAGAGGTTCCAGATGAGACATCTGACAGGGGTGTCTTGAGGGGATTTCGAGGAGCCCTGTCCCATGTGAGTGGCTGGGAGGGTGAAAAATGTGAAGTAGGGGAGTGAGTATCCCAATTCCAACCATGAGAAGGGATCGAGAAGAGCCAGGGTGCCCCTCGCAGCTCTCCATGGTCCCCCAGAAACCAGAGTGGTCAGACCGTGAGCATTCTGAGGGTATCCCCTGAGAAGGCAGGCCAGAGTCACCCAGTGGTGACCGGGGAATCCTCTTACCTGGCACTGGGGTTTTCTAGCTAACAGGTAGAAATATGAGAGGAATCCAGAGGGTGGAAAAGGAAACTCACCCACAATTGGAGGCCGGTGTTGGATGCAATGGGAGTGGTCCTTGCCAGAGCCACAGAGAGGAAAGAGGGGGAAGGAGAAAGTGGTGGGAGGATGGGGCCAAGAGAAAGGATTCCTCCATAGAAAGATGAAAATGGACAGGGCTTGGAACCGGAGGCCAATCAGGATTTGGGAATTAGCCTGACGCCAGCTGCCGCTGCCTCTTCCTTCCCAGGTTGCAAGGAAGTACCTCTCTGTTGTGGGATCCAGACCCCATCCCAGGTTTTGGCACCAAATATTAGAACGAAAGGGATAAAGGAATGGAGCAGAGGCGGCTCAAGGGCAACACAGGTTTATTGGGAGAAAGGCCTGCAGCTAGCATCGGAGCCCCAGTCCTTCCTACAGGTTGGGGCAGTTCTAGGCCTGGGCAGGAGAGGTTGGGGATGATTGAGAAAATGGGGCGGGGGCGGTGTGTTCCGCTGTTGATAAAGGAAGGAATTTACTGCAGTCAGGGTTAGACGTGGAACCTGACAGGATGAATTTATTGCCGTCAGGGTTTAGGCCTGGGACCTTTCCAACAGGATGTTTCTCACAGCTCAGGTCCCGGTGGAATTTTCCACTCTGACCAGAGTTGTAAAATGGTGGCGGTCTGCAAAATGGTGTGATGGGCTAACACGATCAACATGCATCAATTTCACAGACAAAATATTGGGCGGAACACCCCAGGATAATATACAAAATGAAACTGTTTTGGTAAATACTGTAAACTTCAAAACAACATAAATGTTATTTTTATATACTAAAATATGTACTAGGATCTTAATAATATATATGGAAAGATAAACATAAGAAGGAGAGGGAAATGGGATCATATTATAGCACAAAAAATGTTTTAATTTCATTTGTAATGAATTATTTGTTTAAAGAGAAGCTAAAGCAAATATAAAAATGTTAGAATTTAATAGTTGGATGGTATGCATTTAGGAATTTATGTTAATCCCTTTACTATTGTGCTTGTTTGAAATATTTCATTATTAATGTTAAATATTATTTTGCAAAGATAAAAAGGTATATTAATAAATTAATAGTGATATAAATACATAAATATGATAAATAATTATAGTAAAATGTTAATCTTAGAAGGTTGGTTGTGAATATTTGGATGTTCAAAACCTAATTCTTTCAATATTTCTGAATGTTTAAATATTTTATAATAAAATGTTTGAGTAAAATAATAACAGATCAATTTCTGAAATGAAATGAGCAAATGATACAACAAAGTGAATATTTATTTCTAACAACCCAGCAGTTGTCTGTGTTATCTATAAATCAATGATAGGGTGAAATAAAACCTCTCAGATTGGAACAACAAAAATGTGTGGTAAAATTTTGATACTAGCTTGCAATTCATTTAAATGAAAAAGAAACAAGGAAAATATTTATCCCAATGTTGCCAATACAGAAATAAAAATGAAAAATAATTAAAAATTGGACAAGCACTAAAAGCAGTATTTCAAAAAGTCTATTTTAAATACAGTATAGAAGATGAGTCTAATAAATACACACATACTTTATTTTCCTCAAGATTAATGACTAGAGGTTTTTCCAACATGCCTAATCCATTTAGACGAGCAAAAATAGCGGTTCTTCTCTGAAAATTATACAACAAGGAACACAGCAGTTAAGCAGAAAAATGAAAAAAAAATTCTGAATCTGGGAAACAGAAGGAGGGCATGAAGTTCTCTTGGCTGGGACCAGCTAAATACTGGGTGAAAATCCCCAGTATGGGAGAGCATGAATGAATGCTTCTCTGCAGTCCACTTTTCCACTGGGGAATGGTGAAATCCAGGCCACAGGAGAGCACCTTAACTCTCTGAATCCCTAGCTCTATCTTGGGTAATGGCTGGGAGACTAAAAGAAGGAACTGCTCTGGAAAGTGTTCCATGTACTTCCCCAGACTTGGGTACCTAAAGAAAAATGACAGTCTAGATTTTAGCTCTTAGTAAGCTCTGTGGGGTCAAGGGAGCTTGCAGCAGTGGCAGTCTTTGGCATTACAGAGATTTTCACTGGGGCATGGACAACTAGGGCTGAAACGGGAGGAGCTCCCACAGTCAAAACAGAGATAGGAGTGTAGTGTGGACTCCAGCTACTGGTACCAGAACTGAGTTTCTCTTCTAGGACCAGAGCAGGAGGAGAATTGCCTGGGAGGCATGGTATTGACCAAGTCAGTGACTTCTAATACTAGGGACTTTGTTGGAAAGTAGAAGCAAATTGCAGTGACTAGCCAAATATCGAAACTGCCTACCACAATTGGTACAGGAGAGTGAATGATGTCAGGTCTGGGGTGTGAGGGGGAAGCACATTTCACTTCTACTGGCTAAGAATGTGGCACTGGGACCACCCCTCCCTCTCTGTGCTGAGACCTTGATGAAGAAGCAGTTGCCCCTCACCCATGCATTTTTCCAGAGGCCTGAGTATCATCATGCCACCCCCAACAGGGCTGGTGCTTTAATCTACCATTGAGGAAAATAAGTGTAGGCTTCCCATGCCTGGTTCCACTTAGTTTCAACTCCAAACCAAGGCAGAACATGAGACTCATGCCCCTGAACATTCCATGGTATAATGCACCACCTGGGCCACTTGAGCAATTTTCTCAGATAAAGCGGTTGGGCATAAACACTTCTGCTACCACTTTAGCTGGCTCTAACCTGCAGGCACCAACAACTGGCATGCAGGTGAACCTGCACAGCACATTACAATAACAGCCGACATAAGAACACAACACTCAGGAATGACAAAATGTTTTTATGACCACTGCTACCTGCATAAGCCATGCCACCCCAACTGTTCAGTTCAGGAAATCATGAGCGCATTCACCCATTTAGTATACCTGGCATTTGAGAAAGATCATATTAAGGGTATATATAAGCAAGGAAATCATACGATCTTTGCCACTGCACACAGCCAAACAGCCTTACACAACATACACCAGAGTCACATCAAGAATAGCCTTCTCCATGAAAGTAAATTCGAAAATAATAAAAGACTGATACCCCAGATATGCAGAGATCAATGTAAAGATACAAGGATCATGAAAAATCAAGGTATTATGACACTTTCAAAGGATCACAATAATTTTCTAGCAATACATTCTAACAAAAAATCCTCAAAATGCCAAATAAGTCAGAATACTGATTTTTAAAAAACTCAATGAAATGCAAGAAAAAATCTGAAACCAATACAAA